GCTGTTCCCATCCCCCAATTCCCCAATAAAAATCTTAAAAAAAAAAAAAAAGAGGGAAGAGAAAAACATTATTGCAGGTAATAGGATTTCTATGTACATCATCATAACAGAATGAAACAAATTACTGGAATTAAGAGCTCAGAAAGACTGCTGGATATAAGATCAGTTTAGATAAAGCAATAATATTCTTATAAATCAGCAATTAGAAAATATAAAAGAAAAGACAACCTCATTCGTAACAGCAACAAAATCTATAGCATATCTAGAAATTACCCTTAAGGGTCCTATGAAGATACAAGAGCTTTTGGGAAATTTTTTAAAATCCCATTAAAGGACCCAAAGGAAAATTCAAATAAGTGGATGCAAATTCCCTACACATCAATCAGAAAACTTAATGCAGTTACAATGAAAATTCTAGCAATATTTCCTGTGGAACTTGAACTAACTGCAAAACGTAATAGTGATAAAAATAGATACAGTCATAAAAGCAGCCTGAAGGTTGAGCAAATAAACCAATGAAGTGAGAAAAAAAGATCTAAAAACCAGATTCAGATATAAATGGGAAACTGGCATATGAGAGAGACCAACCAGTAGAAGAAAGGGTGTGGTGTCTGGACGATAGTCAGAAATTGGCTGCACTAGTATTAAACTGAGACATCCTCGACCTCATTTTCTCCCCTAGCCACCATCCCATTTTTCTGTTCCTCTTAACAGCAAAACTCATCAAAATATAGTTAGGTAAGCTGTGTCCCATTCCTCTTCCTGGTTTCTCCGGAACCTGCTTCTCTATTAGGCTTTTTGAACCCACTGCTCCCTTGAAACTGCTCAGCAAGTTGCAAAAACATTCGCGTTATGAAATCCAAGGTGCACTCTCAGCGCTCCCATCTGGCCTGCCGGCAGCACTGCCTGACGCGCTGACCTCCTATTTGCACACTTCCCCTGCTTACAACAGCTTCCGGAACCCTGTGCTCTTCTTGTGGGCCTCTCCCTCACTGGCCAGTCTTTCCCAGTTTGCTTGGCAGGTTCCTGACTTCTTCACATTGAAATACTTGAAACATTACCTGTATTCAAATAACCCCAAATGTATCTTGAGCTCAGGTCTCTCCCTTAAACTTCAAATTGTATATTCAATTGCTACATTCTTCTTCATGTCTGATGGCATTTCAATCTTAACATATCCAACACTGAACCTGCCCAACAAACAAACTTCCTCAAACAGTTTTAACCATCTCATTTACTAGCAACTCCATCTAGTTACTCAGACGAAAAACCTTAAGATCAAGCTTGAGTCTTCTCTATCTCACTCACCTTGCACATAAACTTAAAGCATATTCAGCTGGCTCTACCTTTAAAATATATCCCAAATCCAAACACTTCCCACTGCTACTACGAAGGTCAGAGTCACCATCCTTTGCACATGGCACTGCAACGATCGCCTCACTGGTCTCCTTGCCTCTGCACGTGCCACTATATAATACATCATCTAGTTTTTCACACAGCACAAGAAAGATTGGACTAAAACGTTTTAAGTTCAGCCATATCACGCCACTCCTTTGCTCAGAACCAAGTTGTGGCTTCCTGTGTGGGCCCTGCATGCCCTGACCCCTTATCTTCCATCATCTGACCATTATCTTCCACTGGGTGCACCCAGTTCTCTTACCACAATGTGTCCTTGTTTCATTTCTTGTTCCCTCTAAACAGCTAGATACCTGTGCGATGTGCTCCCATACCTGCCTTACTGTGTGTGTGGCAGGAGGTGCCTGTGGAATTCTCCATGTAGAGGTACTGAATAAACCAGTGGGTCTGAGATCTAGAGCCCTACAAAGGGGAACGGAATGGAGACACTGTGAGTTCCCCACATCCATGTGTCATGAAACAATCTGAAGCTCCAAGGGAGGAAGAATGCCCTTCTCCAAGAAGGTAACAGAGAAAAGAAGGCCACCGACCAAGCCCTAAAGAGGATGCTAAAAGAAAGTCTTCAAAGAAGACCAAGATGAAGTGAGTCAAAGACGTAGAAAAAAAGCAGTGTGGTGGAACAGAATCCAAGGAAAGAAAGGGCTGCAGGAAGCAAAGAGTGGTCCGCTGTGCGGAGCCCAGTGAGGTAAGGAAGGCGAGCTCTGAGGATGAGAGCTCTGAAGATGGTCACTGGGTCTATAAAGGCGCAGTCCTCACTGACCTCCATGGGAACAGTCTGGGTCAAGTGTAAAAGCAGAGGCAGGCTCAGCAGTTTCATGGGTGCGAGGGGAGGGCGTGCAGAGAGCACAAACAGCTCTGGAGATCAGCTACAAGGACAGGCAGAGCAAAGGGCTAGCTGCCAGAGTGAAAGGTGGGCCGTGGAAAGAGGAATTTGAGAGCAGAGTACCTGAGTGCTAGTCACGTGACTCGGGAAAGGGGAGAGACCCAAGACAAAGGAGACGGGACAACCAAAGGCATTAGGCTTTAGAAAGAGGAGCTATGATGGCTGGAGGAATATTTCTTTGGCTGTAACACAAGGGAAGACTGGTTCATTCAGATACTGGTATGTGTACATGAGGGAGTTCCCAAGTGACAGCAAGAGGCAAGGTTGTCAGCTAAAAGTGGGTGGGGTGAGACAGAGGGTTGGGGATACTGGAGAGATGAAAGGGTGTGAGAGAGATGGGGAAAGGGAAGGACTGGACTTACAAAAAAACACATCAGTACTGCCGGACAGAATGAGGAATCTGAGGGAGGTGTTCCTGAGTTTACAGAGACTCCAGTGTACTGGCCCGTGTTGGTGTATTAATGTTTCATAAACCAATGTAACTGGAATCAATACAAATAACATCTCTCTACCATAAATCATGCAAGACCTTTTGTTACTATGACACAGACACACCCAGAGCTTTAATTATTTCTGCCCCTACTTTATCAGGAACAGCTGTGACTGCTCATTTTTTAACTGTCTTTTTCTTTCAGAAAAGTTTCTAGTTTCTGTATTTGGCAATGGAGAGAAGGCTTTCATGACCAAAAAGGCATGTTTCACCTTAGGAAAGGCAAAAAGAAACACCTCGGGCAATGTGACATCATTTTCTATAAGGCCACAAATCTGCCTGAAAATGTCACCAACCTCAATTTTTTTCTCAACTCTAGAGGAATCTTAAAGGAGTACTCTTGTGTAGTTGAAACAAAGACAAGCAAAGCACTCAAATGTTTTACTTCAATTTCACTTTCTTTTTTTTGTTTTAAAATAAAATTTAGTAATTATCTAAAAAGTAACATGGGCAGTATGAACACACTGTTGTCTAACTACATGACATATAATTATGTCCTTTCATTTGTACAGATGTGGAGAAATTCTCCAGTGTTTATGCTGGTTATTTCTGGTGGTAGCATGTTGGGTTATTTGTTATTTTCATCTTTGTATCTTCTATTCTGCTATAACATCGTATTAATGAGCTTGTATCATTTTTAGAAAAACAAAATCATGATTCTTTAAAACAATGACACAACAGATGTTCTGGTTTCATACACACAGACAAATTTGAGTGAACTGAGTTTTTGGTTTCTTAGTTGCAATTCAGTCAAATTGATGCAAGTCTACCAAATGTACTCAAAACCAAAAAGATGACATTCAAAAATTTTCATTAGTTGTTTAAATGTGGTTCAGACGAACTGTAAGTTAGCTGAAAACATATAAAACTTACCCTTGTAAAGCTTTATGAATTTGTCTGCACTTTTCCTTCAATACTGCAAAAATACCTGAATGAAAAAAATACATTTGATATTTCAGTTGACCCTTGGACAATACAGGGGTTAGGAGCACTAAAACCCCCGCCCCCCAGTCGAAAATTATTGTATAACATGTGACTTCTCCAGAACTTAAGTTGTCCCTTGGTATTCACAGGGGATACCAAAACCCACGGATGCTCCAGTCCCTTATGTAAAATGACAGATCAATGCACACAGTCAGCACTCTGCATCCTTGGACTTCCAACCACGGACTGAAAACAGTATAGGTATTTATTGAAAAAAAAATTAATGTTACAGATAAGTGGACCGGTGCAGTCCAAACTTGTGTTGTTCAAGGGTCAACTGTGTAGTTGGAAAATTTGATAATACTAGTCTAAATATATTTTTAAAGATCCAGTTCATCAATTTAAAATGTGGCAAATCCTTCTACATACTAATAACAGAAATAGTCAGCCAGTAACTCCTCTGAAGGCCCTAGCTCTCATCCTTGGCACATGCTGACACCTCACTCCACTTTCAGCAAAATCTGGGAAGAGTTTTTTTTACAACAAAACAGTGGCTCTTGCTCTTATTAACACTTGAAATAATCTGCCTAAGAACAAAAGGGTACAAATATACTTCTTATTTCTGGACCTTAAATAATTTGGTCAAAGACAAAGGCTATAATCACGTTTATGATCTTTTCCTTGATATTTTCACTTTACTCAAGGAAAATTCAAATTCTAAAGTATCTGAGCAGGAGCAGGGAGGGCCAGGCCATCTGATGAGCAATCACAAGGCTGTGACACAGAAACACTCCCTTTTCCTGATCCTCCAAATCACAACCAAAGTGGGAAATTTAGAAATTTAGAAAATTTAAAATTCAGATGTACCAGGTACTGCCTGTTTCTCCATTTCCATTTTAGGCTTGGTGAGGAGGCGCAACCACAGCCAGCGGCCACATTTTAAATTTAGGCGACTCTGCCCATTAAGTAAGCTTTAATGGTTGGTAAATGGGTAGCAACTGGTGACTCAAAGACAAAAGGGGAAATTAGACAACAGTTACAAAATTATATATAACAAGAATTAGCAGCACACTTCAGCGAATTTCTCTGAAAATGACAAACCAAAGACAACTTGTCTGATAAATCATTTCCTCTACGTGATTCCGCCAGGAGGCACACCAGCAGTGCAGCTAACATGACCTGCAGTGTCTCTGACCTCCTGGGTTTGAAAGTTTTACCTGGATTCTCCTCCATGATGTTGAGTGCCTCAATCGCAGCAGCAGCTAACAGGGGAGGCAGCGAGGCTGAGAAGCAGTACCCCTGGCCGGAGAGTCGCTGAGGAGAAAAAAAAGGAAGTTAAAACCATAAATACATTTCTCTATTTTTTGGCTAGAAAAATCTAACATCATCAAATTTCTGCACAGCCTACTGAATAGTACGTACAGTGAGGTAGTAACATCAAGGCATGCACACAAGTCATACGTGTAACAAAAGACTTCTTACTGAAAAGGGAAATATTTTCTAAATGTAAATATTCTGAGTGATTCTTTAACAAACCGACTTTTAAATAAAAATTGTGTGATACACTAATTGTAAACAGAATTCTGTAATCAGAAGTTACATTGAGAGGCGACCAATGGAGCAGCTGAGTTTCAGCTGCTGCTTTTGTTTTTAAAAAGAACCTACCTGATGGTCAATTACGAAAGATCTGCCACAGCAGAAACCCCCAATAGATGCAAGTGAATTCTCCATGTTGGCACTGATAAGATCAATGTCATCAATCTGCCAGAAAAGAGGGACAGTGACAATTATTTCTCAATTAACAACAACAAAAAAAGACCAATGTCAAGCCTAGAGACAAAATTTCAGCACTAATCATATCAACAACTGGATTCTACAAACTATTTATGTGAAAATAGAGGAGAAACCATGCAAAATCTATCACTGAAAGGATTGACTTATGCCTGAAAGCCTGCCTGAAAGTGTCTCACTTTATCTTGTTGCGATTTCATTATGCATTAACAATTTATACACAACGGAAGAGAGAGATAAATTAAAGAAAGATGAAATCCAAAGCTGTTTAATACTAAAAATATTCAGAGGTACAAAATAAGATCATTTCCTAACCTTCCCCACAGAAGGTACTTGAGGTGAACAAAAATCTATCAGTCTTGAGCACTTTATCCCTACATTTCAGTTACCTATCACCTTTTCAAAAATGAAATCAATTTATCCAAATACACACGGCAATCGATTCTTTGACCAAACTGGACAAACTGGGCAGTGGATGAACCAGATGTGCCTCACAGGCTTCTGAGTCCCCACTGTTCTCTCAGTTCCCCAGTAACCTGAGGTCCTCACCTGCTCCAGCCCAGGACCGTTCCATCCTGGCTACACAGTAGCCACTGAATAATTACTCACTAATGGCCGTGATAATAACTGGCCAAATCATAGCTGGTGTTTTTCTAAGTGTTCCACAGATCCAACGAGAAAACCTGAGCACTCTTATCTGTTTTTTTCTTTTTAATCTTATATTACAAAAGTAGAGAATTGAAGGAAGAATCCCATTACCCACATTCAATAGCTATCAACTCATGGACAATCTTGTTCCATGTATAGGCCCCTACTGCCCTTTTCATTTCTTTGGAGCAAATCTCAGACTACATATGGTTTCATCTATAAATATTTCAGTGTACATTTCTAAAAGATATGATGAACTCTTTCAAAACCATAAATACAAAACTATTATCACACCTAAAAAATGAAAAATTTCTTAATATCAAATATTGGGTGGCTAAATGTCTCACAAAGCTTGTTTTTTTTTTTAATAGTATTTGTTTGAATCAGGATCCAAATAAGGCCCATACCCTCTGTACTTGTACTCAAGGCTTCATAAATATTATCCCCGTGACAACTGCTGATAGCAGTGAGGAAACTAGAACTGTGATGTCAGACAGTGCTTTTTACTTCTTTAAAATTTTCAGGTCTTAAAAATTTCTCTGGGGTAAATTCTGCTTGAATTACGCCTTCATTTATCTTGGATTCCTCAGTGCATGTAAATGCCAAATGTCAGTTTCTGAGGAGCATGCATCAATCTAACTTCTGGGGGACTGCAGGAGTAGGGGATGCAGTCACTCTCAAGGTGATTTTATGTTTTATAGTGAACTTCTTAACACAAGCTGCGAAACTTTCATGCACAGGATTTGGAGAAAAGCCTCCTTCAATCTGACTACACAGTGGTGGGTGAAGATGGAGGTGGGTTCTGCAGATGGGCCGCCTCGCTCCTCCCTGAGGGTTTGGGAGCACAAACCACTAAAACTGGGAGCAGCTGCGCTCACTTTTCCTCAGCAAAAGAAAACATGACAAACTCACTCCAGCTATCTGGGACTTTGAGGGGCTCTGCTGAATCCATGCCAGTGGTGTTTCTGACACTATATATATGTAAAAAGAAAGGATGACTCTATCACCTCGGTACACACAATTAGAGAATACAGAACTTTAAGTATTAAAAAGAACATTCTTTCACTGCCATTATACATACTTTCTAAAGGACTACTTGGAGAATTCCTACTGATTTTAAGAAAAAACAGAAGGCAAATTTAACTGTTTCTAGAGCAGAGACACTGAAAGCTAGGATCAAATGCTGCCATGTAAACAGAACACAAATTCTATGATTAGCCACCTGAGTTTACAGGTTCTGAGGAGACTGGCCCCAGGTCTGGGTGACCTGGTCCCTGTGGGCTCAGTGCAGTGACAGGCCCCAGAGCTGCACACCCATGAGGATCACTGTCTCGTGCTCTCAACCGGCTGGCAGGATAGAACTGCATATTCTCTACATGAGGGAATGTTCTGAAAAAGGAGAACTTACATTGATTCCAAAATGTTCAGTGACTCCTCGGCCATGCTCCCCCAGGACTCCAAATGAAAGGCTCTCCTCCAGGAAGATCCTGGCTTTGTATTTGTATTTTAACTTAACCTAAGTGTTAGTAAAACATAACTTTAAAATACTGATGATTAGCAGCAAACAGAGCATACTGGCAAAAACAAAGTTGAACGTAAAATAAAAAGGAGAAAAAGGCATGTACAATACACGTGGATTCTTATTTTTTAATTTGACTACTTGCTAAAATAAAATGCATTTGTCACCACAAATCAATACTCGGGGCCTAGGTGTAGAGCAGTGAAAACCGAGTCACCTGACATGCACATTCCAGGCAAGTGCTTCAGCTCACACTATAAGGACATTTCCTTTTCAGTCTATTTATTGCCACTTTTTTTGCATTTTGTGGTTTCTGTTGGTGACCTAGTTGTTTAAAATGGCCCCAAGCACAGCACAAAGTGCTGTACAGTGGCCTAAGTGAAAAACTGTGATGTGTCTTATGGAGGAAATGTAAGCTAGATGAGCTCCGGTTGGGCCTGGGTTACAACGCTGCTGGCTGTGAGCTCAACGTGAATGAATCAACAATATTTATTCAATAACGTGTCTTTAAACAGAACACACATAAAACGAGGATATGTACTGAGAGACTGATGAAAACAGTATGACGAGCAGCTTGCAAAAAACTAACTCTATGTTTGCCCAGGAGCCATAGTTCAGAATTCCCTAATTCAGTGTTTGCAGCATGCTCATAGAACATACCTACCATGAAAAATGAAAATTGACTGTACTTTAGATGCTCTAAACTGATTCAATTTAACTCAATAATACAGACAGCACAATGCCAATTTTTCAGGAAGAAAATGTTAACACATTATGAGTATAGACATATAATCTATCGGTTAAATACTGATTAGATAAAAACTCCTGGGAAAATGTATATATTCTTCCCTCAGTGGCACTATGTTTTAATTTGGACTCATGGTATATTTTTTTAATGCAGAAAAAGTTTTCATTAATGTTTTTCCATCTGTTTTTCCCTTTGCTTTCAAGTTTATAAGAAAGTCCCTTCCCATCGAAAGTTCAGATGTGTATTTATCTATATGTTCTTCTAATTATTTCATGTTATTTTTTTGTTTACACATTGGGGAGTTGAATATATGCATGTTTGTTTATATGTTCCCCCCCCTGATGTTTGAGTTGCTCCTGTATGATATGTATGTGATCAGTTTCACAACTGAACTAAAACACAGTGATTATCAACCATGAAATTTTTATATATCGCTGATAAGTAAGTTCATGAACTCATCCTAGAAAAAGTGCTACATACCTCATTGCTGAATATCACTACGGTCACCTTCAAAGTACTCCCCCTGGGAAGCTACGCACTGACACCAGTGCCTACTCCACCCTTCAAAGCAATTTTGGAACTCTTTCTATGGAATGGCCATCAGAGCTGCTGTTGTATTACCCGTGATTTCCTGAATGTCATCAAAATGTCTTCCTTTCAATATTTACTTTATCTTCGGGTAAAGAAAGAAGTCATTGGTGGCCAGATCAGGTGAGTACGGAGGATGGTCCAATACAGTTATTTGTTTACTGGCAAAAAACTCGCTCCCAGACAACACCGTGTGAAATGGTACATTGTCATGATGCAAGAGTCAAGCATTGTTGGCGAAAAGTTCAGGTTGTCTAACTTTTTCACACAGCCTTTTCAACACTTTTAAATAGTAAACACAAATTCATAATGAATAATCCCTCTGATATCAAAAAAGGTTAGCAACATCGTTTTGACTCTTGATTTGGACTGATGGAACTTTTTTGGTTGCGGAGTTGGCTGATTTCCATTGTGCACTTTGACACTTTGTGTAGGGTCGTATTGGTGCACTCATGTTTCATCAGCAGTGATAACATCATCCAAAACATCATCTTGCCTTTCCAAAAGGTCTTGGCAAACTTTGACTCTCCTTTGCTTTTGTTCATTGTTCAGCTCCTTCGGGACCATTTTCGCATACACCTTTCTTTTTTTTTTTTATTTTTATTTTTTTTTATTTTTTTATTTTTTTATTTTTT